ATGATCAAAACTATATATCCTGCACCATACATGTAACTCTCATGCTGCCTTGAAAAGACTATTTCTTGAGTGGGATCTTATGTCAAAGGAAATAGAGTTCGGTGAGTTAAGCACAACACACAACAGTCTAGGCCCCACGGTGGGTGTCAAAGTACTGTTCACCGAAAAACGGTACAGATAAATTTGTATGCGGTCATGGACACATGCATGTCAAACAAAAAATATTTCATCCTATAAAGTACAAATGCCCAAAACTATAATGTACAAAGTTGATCTACGTACTAAGCACAACATGCATAAGATTTTCACTGCACTACCAATAAAATTTGTACAGTTATTACAAGAATTATTTTGAAAGTGGATAGTCGCAACCATCTGACCCTCTTTGCTCCGGCCACCCACGTGCAAAACTTCAAGTTTATCAATTATTTTTCCTATGGACAAGTGGGGAACCCATTTTTATTATAGTGTAAGACTTTTCACCATTTGAGTTTCAAGATTCCTTAGCACTGGATGGTAAAAACTTACATTGCTATTAATTAAATAGGTACACAGATGATCTGCCACTCCAAATAATTAGTTTCTTGTACAAGATGGAACTTCAATATGTAAGTTTAAGGTCTCAATTTTTCTCCACTTCAGGATACAAAATTTGAGTAACAACGATTCTAATGTTTTATTGATATGCATGCATGCACTAGTTCTAATGTTTCCCTTGATTGGTTTCTGTTATATCACCCACCTTGATCATACAAGCTTCCATTTAATTTACATGTTATTAGAAAGATAAAGCATCAGCCAATAGGGTGGGTGTGTACTATGTAGGGCCATTGTTGCCAGAAACATTTTGGAAATAACCTAGCTAGTTCAATACTAAATGATCATGACATTCAAGCTTAATTTACAGTGTTACATTCTGAAGTTTTGATGATTTTGCAATCTTATATTATAGGGGAACTGAGAGTTTAAGACTATGCAAAAAGGACGGCTGTAAAGCTGCAACCACTGCTACAGTGACTGCAGAATGGAATTGCACTAGGTTATTTGTCCATCTTATATTAGTTATTATCTTGACAAGGGACATAACCTAGTTCTTGCATTTCAAGAATTATACATATATACAACAAAAGTCATTCTCAAGAACATATTCTCATACGCAGCAGCAGGGGACTTGATCGACTGATCTTCTACTATCTTTAGTTGTTGTATGAGATTATAGTCTTGGTTTCATTCAATTTATTAATTAAAATCTATTCCTATGTTATAAAGAAATCAGATCATTTCAGTTGTAATCGTTGATTAAGTTTGAGCTGTAGGTGGAAGGTTTCATAGTTTATTTCTCAAGTATGATTAGTTGTTGATGCTCAGTCGGTCTAACCTACTGAATACTTGTAGATTGTACTACCCCTACTTTTGTTATCTCTTTCGGAGTTGTGGTGAGATCCTGCTTTTCAAATCGTCATTAGTCTTCATCTATCATTTAAAGTCTTTAACTTTGTTTTCGAAGACTTGAGATGTATTTCAGATTCTAGAAATGTATTAGATGCTCTTTATACTTATGCTACCAGGTTTTGAGATTATTTTTGTTATTTCTTAAGTATTTGTTATGGTCTAACTTTTCTTTGGAAGTCTTGTATGTGTTATTTCTTTCGACTTACACACCATTTTGGGGTTCTCAGAGTGTGTGTCATCATGACCTCGACTTTTGAGTCGTGACATTGCTCCTTTTAAAATGACTTCGAAAAGTTGTTTTCAACCTTTGGACAAATCGTTTTAACTCAATTACGACCCATTTGAAATATGCAATTCAATCTTGTCATTTTGAGATACCAAAACAATATTATAATTACTCTTATACGTAAAAGCGTTGCAATAAAGGCTTTTTAGATTATTATTTTTGCAGGTTTATATTTTGTTTTTAATTTTTTTTTTTTTTATATAATAGAATTCAACCTTTATAAATCTTTGTTCCTTACAAAATGGCGTCTTCAACCTTTAAAAATCTTTGTTCCTTACAAAATGGCGTCTTCAACCTTTCGTCGAATCCTTTTTAGCCAGTTGCAATCCATTTGAAAAATCATCATTCAAAACATTACATAAAAAATATTAGAAACTCAGTTTCCTTATGATTTCTAACATCAATTTGCATCAAAAGTATCAAAAAATATAAATCTGAAAATCAGAATCTCATTTTTGAATCAATTTGCCAATTCCAAAAATAAAAAGACAGTTTTATATACGCTATGATACCTAAATTTAGAGATTCCAAACTATTTAAAGCATGTATAAACAAATATGCAGAGTAAAATCATAACAAAACTAATGTATTTATTAGCTTTGTTTATTATTAATATCTTTTTTGGTACATTTTTTCAACTTACGTATAATTAATGCTTATGTTAGTTATATACTCTCTATTTGGAATTAAGGTGTGTATAATTAATACATAAAAACTCATGGTATTAGACCAAACACATACACAAGTACACAACCCCTTAAACTTGCTTCTTTTTTCATTTTGGCACTCTATTTCAACCTTGTTCAATTTTAGCCCTTAAACTACATTTTTTATGTACCATTTGAAAATTAAGACAAAGTGTCAAAATGAAAAATGAGGGAAACTTAAAAGGGCCGTGTATTTTTTATTCATGCATAAGCATAATTAAAGACATAATTGCTCCTCAAAACCTTCTTCACATCCTTTCTACTATACTTCTGCATTACTAATGCAAAACTAATATTAGCATTACCAATACAACCATCACCATATTCAACATTATTCCTAATTTCCTATACATTCTACTAAACGATCCATATATATATACAAACATAAATTTAAAATCCAATTATTATCGCTTAAAATCATTATTATAAAATTCAAAACCAATAAAAAATGAAATTTTAATTTCACCTCCACTAAGATCTTCTAGCAATTGAAACCTCACTCTTATATGGTATGAATTTAAAAAGGTGAAGTATTGTTTGTAGGACCCATTGAATCAAACAATGTCATATTTATGACATATATTCACCCAATCAAGAACAATTTCTTGACCCGTTACCATAGTGGGCAACGTGGCCTAAGATTTTGTTGTTATGATGGGTATTTCTATATGGACCATCTCAAAAAAAGTTTCAGACATTAAACTTTAATTTGCCTAACACCAAATTTTAACGATGCTCATCTCCATCACCAATTATAATGAAGTAAAAATTCGTTCATATTCAAATTAGGTATCGTAATATGACTTCATATTGTTTTTAAGAGATAAATTGGTATTATTTAATATTTTTAAAGAAAACATATGGGAAGTATAATTTATTATTGAAAGTCGTACGACAAGCAATTAGTTATGTTGAAATAGTACAAGTACGTCTCTTATGTCATACTCGTATTTATTTAATAGAGTTGTTCAACTATTCAACTTATAATATTTATAGTAGTATTTTAAATACAAGATTCTAATGTGGACACAAGTATTTTGCTTTTTCCTAGGGGTTGACCTTTTTAATGAACAAAATCATAAAAAGATACTCTTTCGTCTTAAAATAAGCATAACTTTAGTAATCGAAAACTATTGTCCCATAATAAATGTCGCGTTAGGAATTTAAAACAAAAATTTATTATTTTATTCAACTACACCCTTATATTTTACTATCCTCTTATTAGTGTTCAATTCTCAAGAAACATTTATTAAAATAGAGATAGTTTAGTAAAAAACTACTTATTATATTTATTATTCTCTTAATAGAGGTAGTATTTTTTAAGTGACTTATTTTTTAATGGAATGAATACTTGTTACAAGTAGCAAGACTTTTGAAAGAAGACCGTTCAATGGGAAAAGAAAAATAAAATAGAAAGAGTTTGAAAATTGGAAGGAAGCTTTGACATGAAAAAACTAAAACAGGAAAAAGACCAAACAAAAAAAGAAAAATGATAAAATCTTATTACGTAACGTAACGTATCTTAATAAACGTAAGATTAATTTTAGACGTAATTTTTACTTGAGTGACGTAAAAATTACCCATAGATATAAATGGATCCACCCCTCTAGGTGGGTGCACGTGCACCCCTTAATTTCGGAAAAAATCATGTATATCTATATTGAGAAACTGATATAAATTAGGATATAATTAACGGTGTACCCATGAAAAACATAGGAGTGTCATTATGCTATTAGTACAAGCTAGAGGATCCACTTATGAGACCTGGGTTCGAATCTAGCTAGAGCATTATTTCACTCAGGGATGGCTCTATGCTTTGGGAAATAAGGCTTTTGCTTAATTTGGGGGCCCAAAATTTTTTATCAAGAATAAATTATGTGTTAAAATTTTTATAGAAAATATTGATTATTTATTATAAAAAGTATATTTTAAAAAATATATTATTCTACCCACTTTAGCATTTTTGTACTTTGTTAAAAATAACAATTAATAGTGAAAAATGTTGAACGAAGTGAATTACAAATTCTTTTTTTATTTCTTTTTAAATTTTAGTTTCAAACATTACTACAAGCATATTAAAATGGGGTATACCAAATCATCAACTTTTTGAGTCAAATTTTATGGTTCTAACTCTTATCTTTATTTAATATTTGTCAACTTATTACTGAATTATGTTAACAATTCATATAATAATTGTCTCACTGAAAAGATGTTTTTCAATGTTGAGTTGATAAAATCTTACCTAAAATTAATAACTGAAAAAACAATTTAAATACTAATAATTTTCATCTAAATAGTTTAAGAAAAATATTTTTTTGAATAAATACATATATGAAATTTGTTTATATTTTAGGCCTCGAATTAAAATTTTGCTTAGGCCCCAATAACGTTAAACCGCTCCTAATTTCACTATATTTATTTGAGCACCAAAGTCTTCAAATCGTGGTTGGCCCTCTGTTAATCGGAGTAGTACTAATAGTGTAGTCTGTATTATAACTGAAACACAAAAAATGAATATGAAGAAGTTGGAAAGAAGAAATACTATTGTTATTGTTATGTTAGTTGTTGCATTTGATCACTTTACTGCTTGTTTGGCTAACATTGCCACTGATGAAGCTGCTCTTCTTGCCTTCAAATCTCACATTTCTTCTTCTTCTTCTGATCCCAACAACAACAACGTAGTCGGCTTGCAAACCAACTGGTCTTCTTCAATTCCATCATCAGTTTGCACCTGGATAGGGATCACTTGCAACGGGCGCCACAGAGTCACTGCTTTAGACATATCTAGCATGCAACTTCATGGTACCATTCCTCCGCACCTTGGAAACCTCTCATTTCTCATATCCCTTGACATTAGTAACAACACTTTCCATGGAGATCTCCCAGAAGAGTTGACTCATTTGCGGAGGTTGAAATTGATTGATGTTACAAGAAACAATTTAAGTGGTACCATTCCATCATTCTTAAGTTTGTTACCTAACCTTCGATTCGTTTACCTTTCAAACAACCAATATTCAGGGGAAATTCCATCTTCCCTTTCCAATCTAACAAATCTTCAAGAGTTAAGAATACAGAGGAATTTTCTTCAAGGAAAAATCCCTCCTGAAATTGGCAATCTTCATTACTTGACTTTTTTAGACCTGCAAGGTAATAGACTTACTGGCTCTATTCCGCCATCAATCTTCAACATGACTTCCTTGACAACACTTGCTATAATACACAATCGTCTTGTCGGTAAACTTCCTCTAGATATTTGTGACAATCTACCAAATCTTGAAGTTCTTTTACTGTCAACAAACAACCTGGATGGCCTAATCCCACCAAATTTACAGAAATGCTCAAAGCTACAACTGTTGACATTGTCTGGCAATGAGTTCACTGGACCTATACCAAGAGAACTTGGGAACTTAACTATGCTCACAGTCTTGCATCTTGGAGAAAACCATTTAGAAGGTACGTCGTATGAATTACTCCCTCTGTTTCAATTTGTTTATCTAGTTTTGACTTGGCACTGGTTTAAGGAAGTAAAAAGGACTTTTGAATCTTATGTAGAATGTACCAAAATACCCTATAATCTTAGAGTCTTAAACAGGTCACGTGAAAAAGTTGAAATTAAGAAAAAAAGACGAACCGACTAAAAAGGGAAGTAAGACAAACAAATTGAAACGGAGGAAGTATATCTTTATGCTTTTGTGTTTATTTTAAGATTTCTCAAAAGCTAAGCAATATCAATATGTACTAATGTTTATGCATTTTACTCTAATTGACAGGAGAGTTACCGGTCGAGATAGGTAACCTACAAAACCTCCAAGTACTTGGGTTAAGAAATAATAAGTTAAATGGTACTATTCCTGCAGAAGTTTTCAACATTTCAGCATTGCAGATATTGACAATGTATGGAAATCAGTTATCAGGTAGTTTACCTTCAGATTTAGGCATTGGAACGCCTAGTCTTGAAGAAGTTTACCTTGGATCAAATGAACTCAGTGGACGAATTGCTCCTACCATCTCGAATTCTTCAAAGCTAACACTTCTAGACCTTGCACACAACAAGTTTACAGGTCCAATTCCTGATTCACTTGGTTCATTAGAGTTTCTTGCTAAGTCCTATTCTTGGGAGGTAACAATTTCATTAATGAGCCATCTTCTTCTGAGTTAAGATTCGTCTCGTCCCTGACTAATTGTAGATATTTAAGAGAAGTGGTCATTGAAGATAATCCTTTGAATGGTTTTCTTCCATCTTCTATTGGAAACTTTTCTGATTCTTTTCGGATGTTTGTTGCACGTAGAACCAAACTGAAGGGCACAATCCCGGAAGAAATTGGAAACCTGAGTAGCTTAGGTGTGCTAGCTCTCTCTCATAATGACTTCACTGGTTCGATACCTGAGAAGTTGAGAAGCATGAAGAATCTCCAAGAATTTTACTTGGAAAATAACAGCCTAAGTGGAACAATACCTGATGATATCTGCAGTTTACGAAATCTTGGAGCTTTAAAATTGACTGGAAATCAAATATCTGGTTCAATTCCAGCATGTTTAGGAAATGTTTCTACTTTAAGATATCTTCATTTAGCTTTCAACAGATTGACTTCCACCTTACCTGAAACCCTGTGGAGCCTTCAAGATCTCTTGGAACTCAATGCATCAGCAAATCTGTTTAGCGGGCGCATACCTCCTGAGGTTGGTAATCTAAAGGCTGTGTCACTAATTGATCTGTCAAGAAATGATTTTTCTGGTAATATTCCTAGTACTATAGGGGGTCTTGAAAAGTTGATTAGTCTTTCCATGGCACACAATAAATTGGAAGGGCCTATTCCGAGTTCATTCGGGAAAATGGTGGGCTTGGAATTCTTGGATTTTTCTTACAACAATCTTACTAGTGAAATTCCAAAGTCACTTGAAACACTCTCACATCTCAACTACTTTAACATCTCTTTTAACAAATTAAAAGGAGAAATTCCTAGTAGTGGTCCATTTGCAAACTTCACCAGTCAATCTTTCATTTCCAATTCTGCACTCTGTGGTGCTCCTCGCTTTAATGTGTCGCCATGCCTCATCAAATCCACCAAGAAATCAAGGAGACACAGAGTTCTAACAAGTCTGTATATCATATTAGGTATTGGATCGATGATTCTCACATTGGTTCTAGGATATGTTTTGTTAAGGTGGCAAAAGAGAAGGAAGAATTCAGGTCAAACAGATGTATCTTTGGTTAAAAGATATGAAAGAATCTCTTATTATGAACTTCAGCAAGCAACGGAAGGATTCAGCGAGAGCAATTTGCTTGGTACCGGAAGTTTCAGTATGGTATACAAAGGGATACTTAAAGATGGGAATCTTTTGGCAGCTAAGGTATTCAATGTGCAATTGGAGGGAGCATTCAAGAGCTTTGAAACAGAATGTGAGATACTACGCAACCTTCGCCATAGAAATCTAACAAGAGTGATCACTAGTTGTTCCAATCCAGACTTCAAAGCCTTAGTATTGGAATACATGCCCAATGGAACACTTGATAAGTGGCTACACTCTCATGATTTGTTCTTAGACATGTTGAAGAGGTTGGACATTATGATAGACGTGGCATCGGCATTAGATTATCTCCACAACGGGTATCCAACACCCGTGGTGCATTGTGACTTGAAGCCAAGCAACGTCTTGCTTGATCAAGACATGGTTGGTCATGTGAGTGATTTTGGCATTTCAAAATTGCTAGGTGATGGGGAGACTTTTGTACAAACAAGGACTATTGCAACCATTGGATACATTGCTCCAGGTAATTGAAATTTCAAACTTGACATCCTTTAGATTTTCACATTTCAAACTTTATCTAACAAGATTTCTCCCATGATTGTAGAGTATGGACAGGACGGAATAGTATCCAAATGTTGTGATGTTTATAGTTTCGGTATCATGATGATGGAAACATTTACAGGTATGAGGCCAAGTGATAAAATGTTTACGGGAGATTTGAGCCTAAGATGTTGGATTAATGATTCTTTTCCCAATGGAGTTGTGGATGGCAATTTGTTAAGGCCAGAGGAAGAACATATTAAAGAGAAAATGCAATGTGTATTGTCTATCATGGAATTGGCTTTGAGTTGCACTTTAGTGTCACCTGATGCAAGAGTTAACATTGAAGATGCTCTTTCAGCCTCCAGAAAATAAGACATCAGTTTGTCAATAGTTGTGCAAGGACTTAAAAACAAATCATCAAAGGATTTATTTTGTATTATTTAGGTTCGAAATTCAATTTAAATGATTTGGATACAAGTTATGCAGGGATTAATTATAATGAGATTAGCTAATTAGTTATATAGAGATTATTTTTATTGGGTGTTTGGTTCATGACACTAAAGAATTGAATGTCTTTGTTCATCCCTCATCAAAAGAATCTAATGATCTACATAAACTAATACACTAAACACAGCATCAGGTCTACAACCAAATGGAGCTTTCTGTACATCAACTGCTATTCTCTAGACCAAGGATGTCATTAGCATTACTACGAGCAACCTGAGCATGTCATGACTTTAAGGTTGTGTTTTGTAGAAAATGTTTTCCAATTTTTCCTTGTTCGTTTCATCAAATATTTTGAAAAACATCTTCTATAAGAAAACTGCTCCTTTTTTTTTTCGAATTTATATCACTAGACAGAGCGTCATAGAAAAACTGCTCCTTAAAAATGAGGAAAATGACTTTCCTGATGAAATAGGAAAAAAAAAAAGTTACACTCCATATTGATTGTGTCCTCTGTCCTCCCCACCCCCATAGCCCTCACCCCACCATTCCACACCCCACCCCAACCCACCTCCCATAATATTTATCTAAATTATATCCAAATGGCCGCACACATAGCCTCTTAGAAACAACTAGAAATATTAATATTGCACTTGGAAATAATTATAAGCGCAAATTAATAACTTCTACAACACCAAGGTGACAAACCAAGTATTGCATCATCATCATCTAGCTAATCAGACAAGAATCCTCGACACCATAAATAAATTCCTCCTTCTGCTCACGTTTGTTTTAATTGAATACGAGCAATATGTAGAATCAGAACAAGTAATTGTTAAAATTCTTGCAAGAATATCCATCCACTTTGAATTCTAAGGAGGTCTGAAACAGCTTGTACACACATCATTATTTTTGGACTTCCTTGTTAAAATTTATGTCTGTGTATTCTGTATTTGATTCAAAATTATGAATTATTTCATCTATGACGATAACAAAGAAAATTGATGTGTGTATTCTATATTTGATTCAAAATTAAAACTTTATCTAAATATTTTCTTACATTTCGAACAATTTGATAAACCCATTAGATTTCAAGATTAGGAGGCATCATATAATTTTTTTTTTATCCAATTTCTATCAAGTTCTTTCAATTTTCGGGGAATTCATTGATTCTTTCAAAGTTATCATTTCTAATTTTGAAGTTATATGAAACGGAGTAATTGATGATACCTTCAAAATTTTAAATTTTCTTAGAAAAATAATTAATTTTGTTATCAATAATTCAATAAAGTCTAGAAAATAGTATGATTTCTTTTTTATAAAAAAAATCACTAAATAAAGAATTTGATTAAAGAAGAAGAAAAAAAAGGAAAAAAAAGAGGAGGGATTCACTTGACGTGGGGGTGGGGTGAGGGTGGGAGGTGAAAAAAAAAAGAAAATGGAGGGATGGATCAACTTGAAAGTTGAAAGTGAGGGATGGAAGATGAAATCAAAATTAAAATAAGTCAAAAATTAAGAGAATAAGTCAAAAATTAAAAAGAGATAAAGAAAAAACTTAAAATGAATTTTTTATTTTTATTTTTAATTAAATTAACACGTGTCATGTAATGATTGGTGTGAACACACTTGCTTCTTAAAATTTGGGGCTGACCGAAAAATGATATAATAATATCAATGCATAATTGTTTAGTGAGGTAATAGGACGGTTGCAAAGTGAAGATGTCTTTTTAAAAATTCGGGACAACTCTAATTGTGACTTTATGTCTTTTCTCAAACAAAAAAAAAAATGTGTATGCTATAACCATGAGAGAATTCAAAATGATAATATAAAATCTTCAATTATTTGAATTCGTTACTGTACCTAATTATTTGACATTTAGTAGAATTATACCCTAAATCAAATACCTTAGAATTGAAATGATAGTGAAGAACCCTGGTAATGTATATATTCATTTAACTATGACTCTTCATATTCTTTAATTTAAGATTAAAATGGAAAAAACTTGATTTATCTACTTATTTAAGAATAGTTATTTAGTTTTCATTATTTTAGCAATTATATATGACTCTTAAATTCTAGAAATCCTAATTGAGATGTTTAATCTAGTAGAGCATGTTTGACATTGTTGTTGGGAAGCCAAAAACATTTATTTTGATGAAAAAACACTTTTTAGAGAAATTAAGGTGTTTGGCTAACATAAAACTTCTTTTAATTGGAAACAGAAGCCGTTTTTCTATTTTTGGGAAGAAGTTAAAAGTTTTTGTTTCTTAAAACAAGCAGAAGCAGAAGCAAAAAAGAATAGCAAGACCAAACTATCTTTGTCATATATACATATTTACCAATATATTCTTTATATTTATTTATTTATTGTGGTGAATTTTCATATGTAGTGATTAGGGTTGTTCATGGTTATGGTTAAAAAACCAAACCGAACTGCAATCCAAATCAAACCGATTAAAAAAATTGATATTTGGTTTGGTTTGGTTTTAAATTTTGAAAACTGATATTATTTGGTTTGGTTTTAGGTTTTCTAAAAAACAATCGCAATAATAACCAATTTGAACCGATAAACTAGATATATAAATTTTGTATTCATATATCATTATAAGTGGGAAGCTCCAAAACTAAAAGTTGAATTACGATTTTACCCCAACTACAAATTAAAATGTTATAAAATATTTAATTATTTAAATATTAATTGTATCATTTTAATTAAAATGTTAATAACTTTTCGACTTCTTTTGATTAATTACTAATTAAATATCTAAATAATAAAAATAATAATGATGATAATAACAATAACAATAACAATAGTAATAATAATAATAACTATAAGAATAAGAACAAGAACAATAACAATAGTAATAATAATAATAACTATAACAACAACAACAACAGTAATACAACAACAACAACAACAACAACAATTTGTACATAAATTACTCAATTTTTCCTCTTTTCATAACTTTTTCCATAACTCCTCTCATAAATAATATAATTTATGTGGATAAAGTATTATCCTTTATGATAAATAAAGAAATTTAATAATTTAAAAGTGTGGCAATCTGTAAAATGGATAGACATAATATCCTATTGTTTTTTTTTTCTTTATTTGCTTTAATATTTATATTCATAATTCATATCCAATTACCTATTCAATTGTTACACTCTTAATACCCATAACTCTCATCTTTTCATATTCATAACTCCAAATATTTAATCTAAAACTTTAAGATATCTTTTGGTATTCCTTCATTTTTATCTATATAAGTTCATCTTTTTTTGTTTTATGAAACCCACCCAATGTTATCATTTTTATTCTATAGTTAAAGTAGATGAAGAAGACTCTTGATTATTAATTGCATATGAGGCAAGGAGTCAATAAGAACTCAGAAAATTATGTACTAATTTTGTATTTATTTTTTCATCTATATTATTATCGATCAAAGTCTTAAGAAGAATGTATACATTGTATTTTTTACTTCTATGATTTTTTGTGTGTGTGTTTTTTCTCTATTAGACTTCTTACTTTTGTTTTCTAGGAATGCATGCATTATTGCCGTAAGTTTATATTCTTATTTGGGCTCAATTAAGTCATTTGTGACTTTATTGAAAGTTTGCTAACTATTAAGCAAAGTTCAAAAGTTACCATTTGTTGCTTAAAAAGAATTAATTTGAAACATCAAAATACCTACTTCATTTGGTGTTTTTTGGACATATTATTAAAGATTTATTTGTATTGTTGTATTTTATTACTCATTACATACATGCTTTCATAAAATTTTGGTCATTCTAATATATTTATTAAAATTCACATGGAACACACGTGCGAAGCACGTACCCAGATACTAGTTATTTATATATTATTCTTGAATAAAATATAAATATTTTGTTAAATTTTAATTAACTCAAGTCTAACTTTACCATTTTCTCAAGCACAACACTTAAATTTTGGGAAAATATTCAAAATGTCAATATTTTATCATTTAATCGTACCCTTTTGCCACATTTTTAATATTTATTAAAATGTCAATATTTTAGTTTGTTATGTATCTAATTTTTTTTTTATTTGTTCCAATTGAAAGAATACAATTATTTAATAATAGAAAAGAGAAATTTAGGAGAGAATATTTTTAAAAAGGAACATATCACTTAAAATTCTCATCAGTTACAAATTCAAAAATAAATGACAGGGCACCCATCCCCCTTGTTCATCAAATTTTCAATATCAATTTTTAAATTTCCATTGATAATACTCAATCTATGTTGAAGTGAATTCGATTAAATAAGATTTTTCTGTTTGGGAAGAAGATTTTGAAAATGAATATGGAATTTCATTGATAAACGGGTAAAATTACGCCGACAAACAACTTTGGAGAAGGAATTCCCAACTGGAACTTCGATATAATCAGTGAAATACAAAATTGATCAGGTATACATGACCCTATCCGCATAATTACAATATTGTATTCCACAAAAATTGAATACAAAATCATCAATAAATACAGATTCACATTCATATTACAAAAAAAGTATTCATGATTGAGTTATGTATGTATTCTACTTTCAAAGTGAAAACTAAAAATTGTATCCAGTGAACATAATTGTATTACATCACTACCAAATATTTTTTTTTTATTTGTATTACAAAAATATTACTAATTATATCTCAATATAATCTAATCATTACATATGAATACGGTTTAAGAAATGATACATGTCACGACCCGAGCCTACACCCTGGACGTAGTTGGCACTCGAGAACGTTGGTCCCCAAGCGAACCCTAATCCAGGCTGACTACAAGCAGAAGACTTACTCAAGCATACAAAGCTTAAAAACTCAATAAAAATTCATGAAACTCAAATACAAAGCTCTAACTCAAATGAAAAACTCTGAATAAAAATAATATATTCAACTCGCCATAAAATAGGCAACTTAAGTCTTTAAGA